TATATATATATAGGGACTGGAGGGGGGAGAAATAAAGAGGTGGAGCACAGAAAGTCTTGAGGGCAGCACAACTACTCTGTATACAATGGTGGGTGGAGTCCCACCCAGGCAATTTAGTGAGACTTCAACTCAAAACATAAAAAAGGCTAGGGATGTGGCTCAATGCTAGAGTGCCTGTGGGTTTGATCCTCAGTACCATGAATAAATACATACTAAAGGGCTGGGAATATGCCTCAGTGCTGAGCTCTTGCTTAGCATGGTCAAGGCCCTTGTTTAGTCCCCAGTAGAGCAAAAATAAATAACACTCAGAAGTTGTTTAACAGAAAACAGGTCACTGGGCGTGGTGGCACAAGCCTGTAATCCCAACACTCGGGAGGCTGAGGGAAAAGGTCTGCTGTGAGTTCAAGGCCAGCCTGGTCAGTCTCAACTGCATAGTGAGACCCTGTCTCAAAAAACCAAAAAAATAAAAAGAGAGAGAGAGAAAGAAAACAGGTCAAGTTTCTGATGCTCTGTACACAGCAGACGACTCCTGAGTGTGGGTCTCTGCTACATACTTGGGGCAGCCCATTCTAGGTTGAACAGACTTGTAATGGAGTCACATACCAACCCAACTGTAATCCAACTACATGCGGATGAAGTCCCAAATTAATTCCGAGCTAAATAATATAACAAGGACTCAGAGGCTGGACTTGCAGATGCCCAATGGGTAACTAAATTCAGGAGGAAGCCTGGCAGCTGCCTTTTTTATATCTATCTTCATATTAAAATCTTCATACTAAAATCTTTGGCTCAGATCTCTGCACTGCACATAGGTACCTCAGAAATATCTATAATACAAAATTTTTTAGTCCTGAATTTACTTATAGCCTATCTCAACGCTTTTCAAGACTGAGAACTCAAAAAGCAACTAGTTTTCAGGATTTGCAAGGATATCCAATTGCTGCTTTTACAATGTCCAGTTCCAGACGAGACCCCCTAGGCCTACAGCAATGCCTAAGAGTCTCGTGATTGTCCTAGACCTTCAGTCATCTTGGACTCCCAGAACACTGCATATCATCCCATGATGAGCTCACTCCCGGCAAACAGGTGCAATTACTCCATGCCCCCACAAGCAGGAGCTGTCATCGCTCACTGTGGGGAACCAAATTGCCCCCTCAAGCCACAAAAGCTCTCCCAGAACCAATCCTGAGATAATGATCAAGGCCTGACCAGGATTATCTATCTGCCTACTATGCAAATACCCAGCCCTTGTTTTCCTTTTCTATAAAACCCGTAAGTCCTGTCCTCCCCTTAGAGACTAGTCTTGAACTTCATCTGTCCTCTCAGCATAACGTGCTAATTTAAGTTTCTATACTTGATTGGCATTTTGAAAGGTGAGACTCCAGGAGCCAGAGCTTTCACCCTAAAACTCTGGTAACAAGACAGAGGGTGCCAGGGGTGGTGCTACATGCCTGAAATCCCAGTACTGGGGAAGCTATGACAGGAGGATCAACACAAGCTCAAGGCCATCCTGAACTGAGACCTGGTCTCAAAAAAACAAAACAAGACAGAGGCAAATATTTCAACTAATTCATTAAGTACCCCGCAAAAATAAGATTAAAATGGTAGTGTGTAGTGCATCACACTCCAAGACCTGGCTTTCTGTCTTTGAGACAAAGTATTTTCCCCTGATAAAATACCATTCAAAACAACAAAGATCCAGATCACCAGCCAAAGACACACTTCTTTGCTTTATGGTATTTCAAAACATTTTAAAGTGTGGTGGCACTGAGGTTGGGAGGCTGTGGCAGGAGGATTGCAAGTTCAACTCAAGCGTGGGCAACTTAGAGACTTTATCTCAAAAAATAAAAAAGGGATAGGGATGGAAGGTACTGCAAAGGCTCTGGATTCTATCTCCAGTACCGCCACCACCCCAAAGTTCAAAGGATCTAAATTAGCTGGGTGTGGTGGTCATACCTGTAAGCCTAACACACTGGGAGGACAGGACATAAAATCCCAAATTTCAACCCAGCCTAGGCAATTTAGTGAACTGAGACCCCAGCTCAAAACTTTAAAAGGCCTAGGGATGTACACCAGTATGAAGGCCCTGGGTTCAACCCCCCAGTACAAAACAAAGCCAAGTTTCCAGTTTCTCTTGAAAAAGTATCAGAAGCGGTGAGCTTTGGGGCAGCTGACAACCAGGGGACATAAATGGGCCAGCTCCTCACACCCAGTGGCAGCCTTATTTTACCAAATTTGTCTCCTGGCTCTGAAATAACACCGGAACAAATCTCCCTTCCCAGTTCTAAGGTCTAGCTTTAAATTTCGTTTCATGTGTCCTAAATTCATGGACACAACGACATGTTTTGGACATACACAAATTCCTCTGCTTTCCAAAAAGTCTGAAAACTGTCTATGAAGACAAATTCTGATCAGGAAGTTTGCTTCATGGATCATGTTATATTTGGCCTTTATTTAACCCATTTTATTTTTATGTAAGAAGACGTGATTAAAACTCATACCTGAAGTGTTTGCAAAGAAAGAAAATTTTGGCTCAACAGAAAAGTCAACTAAATGAGTAACAAAGTTAACCAAGTTGTGATCAGTGGTGAGTGATAAGTGGCCCTTACCTATTCAGTTCCTACCAGTAGGTGCCTATCTATGTAATTCCCACCCATGGGTCTCTATCCAGAGTTCCCTATAAATGAACTCTTATCATCATCCAGTTCCCATTGATGGGCCTATACTATGCTTCCCATCTTGCATTCGGTTCCTCTGGATCAATTTCTATCTATACAGCTCCAACCACTGGATCTAGACTTAAATAGTTCCTACCCGTGGATCTACATCCACACAGCTCCCAACAATGGATGCACCCTGATAACGATTCCCAGCCATGACCCGCTGACCAGGCTTCCACAAAGTGGCCACCTTTAACATGGTTTCTACTGATGGATGTGGTTCTTAGCAGTGGGTCCCATCCAAAACCTTCCCACAAATCGATCCGCACTGATGTGCTCCCGCCGGTGGTATCAAGTTTCCTACTGTTGAGTCCCTCCCTATAGATACAGCTCCCACCCAGGGGTCTACACAGATTCGACTCCCACCCATGGGTCCACGCTGATGTGGTCCCCGCCGGGGGTCTTCACTGGCGCGGCCCCCGCCACCCGAGCCCTGGTGTCCGCCTTTACACGCCGACCCGCCGGCAACGCCA